TCCTTTCGACCAGCCTCGAGGTGCGACAGGGGGGAGTTATGTGTAGAAGGAAAGGGAAGTGAGGAGGAGGAGGCGGAGAAGGAGGAGGAGGAGGAGGAGGAGGAGAAGCAGGAGGAGTGAGGAGGAGGAGGAGGAGGAGAAGGAGAAGTAGGGAGGAGACAATGGTAGCAGGGAGCAGGAGGAGGAGGAGGTAGGACAAGGAGGAGCGAGGTGGGGGAGGAGGAGGAAGAGTGCAGGAGGGAGGAGGAGGAGGAGAGGAGGAAGAGGAGAAGAGAAGGAGAAGGGATAGGGGAGGAGGGAGGAGGAAGAGGAGGGGGAGAATGAAGGAGGAGGAGAAGGGAGTAGAAGGAGGACGGAAAGAGGAGGAGGAGGGGGAGGAGGAGAGGAGGAGGAGGAGGAAGAGGAGGAGGAGGGGGAGGAGGAGGGAGGAGGGGAGGAGGGAGGAGGAGGAGCAAGAGGAGGAAGAGAAGGAGGAGGATGAGGAGGAGGAAGCGGAGGCGGAGGCGGAGGAGGAGGACGAGGAGGATCATAATGATGAGGCGGAGGAGAAGCAGCAAGAGGAGGAGGAGGAGAAGGAGGGAGGAGGAGGAGGAGGCGGAAGAGGAAGGAAGAAGGGGGGGATGAGGAAGCGGAGGCGGAGGCGGAGCAGGACGAGGAAGAGAAGGAGGAGGAGGAGGAAGCGGAGGCGGAAGATGATAAGGAGAAACAGGAGCAGGAGAAGGAGGAGGAGGAATGAGGAGGAAGAGGATAAGGAGGAGGAGACCGAGGAAGAGGAGGACGATGATGAGGCAGAGGATGAGGATGACGAGGAGGAGGAGGATGAGGATGAGACGGAGAGCATACCGAGCAAGAAGAGTATGATGAGGATGAGGATGAGGACGTGGAGGCAGAGGCGGAGGAGGAAGAGGAAGATGAGGAGAAGGAGCAGCAACAGGAGCAGGAAGAGGAGGGGGAGGAGGAGGAAGAGGAGGAGACGAACGAGCAGGAGCAGGATGAGGGATGCTGATTATGCTGATGATGATGAGGAGGATGAGAAGAAGGATGAGGAGGAGACGGGAGGAGGATGAAGAACGAATAGGAGGAAGAGGATGAGAAAGATGAGGAGGGGGGTGAAGAACCAGGAGGAGGAGGAGGAGGAGGAGGAGGAGGAGGAGGAGCAGCAAGAGCATGCGGATGATGATGCTGATGCTGATGCTGATGATGATGAGGAGGAGGAGGGATGAGGAGAAAGGAGGATGGGTGGGGAGGGAGGAGGGAGGAGGGAACGAGGATGATGAGGAGGGAGGGGGCAAGAGGGAGAAAGGAGGAGAGATGAGGAAGGCGGAGGAGGAGGACGAATAGGCGGAGGAAGGAAGAAGGATGAGGCGGAGGAAGAAGAGGAGGATGAGGCGGAGGAGGATAAATGAGGAGGAGGAGGATGAGGAGTAGGGAGGAGGATAAGGATGAGCGGGAGGATGACTGATGAGGAAGCGGAGCGAGGAGCGAGGAGGGAGGAGGGAGGAAGGAGGAGGGAGGACGGATGAGTGGTGACGATGATGGGATGCTGATGATGCTGATGCTGATGATGAATACGATACTGCTGCTTGGGATCATGACACTGATGATGCTGATGCTGCTGTTGCTGCGGATTATGATGATGCCGGTGATTACGATAATGATGCTGACGATGCTGATTATGATGCTGGTGCTGATGATCATGCTGATAACGATGACGATGCTGATGCTGCTGCTGTGGATGATGCTGATGATGCTAATGATGCGGCTGATGCTGGTGATGCTGATGCTGCTGGTGATGATGCGGCTGCTGCTGATGCCGCTGCTGCTGCTGCTGCTGCTGCTGATGATGATGATGATGATGATGATGATGATGATGATGATGATGATGCGTACGAGGACGAGGATGCGGATGAGGATGCGGATGGTGATGCTGCTCTCGATGATGCTGCTGCTGGTAATGATGGTGCTGCCGACGATGCTGATTGTGATGATGCTGGCGACGACGATGATGATGACGATGACGCTGATAATGCTGATGCTGATGATGCTGCTGATGCTGATGCTGTTGACTCCGATGCTGCGGATGACGCTGACGATGCTGATGCTGCTGCTGATAGTGATGATGCTGCTGACGATGATGCTGATGCTGATGACGATGCTGATGATGCTGAATGCTGCTGGTACTGCTGCTGCAGTTGATGGTGATGCTGGTATTGATGCTGATGATGCTGATGCTGATGTTGATGACGAAGATCATGATGCTGCTGTTGATGGTGATGCGGAGGATGATGCTGCTGCGGATGCTGATGAGGACGACGATGATGATGCTGCTGGTGATGATGATGCTGATTATGCCGATGATGACGACGCATATAACGCTACTGCTGCTGCTGATGATGATGATGCTGATGCTGATGCTGCTGATGATGGTGCTACTGATGATGATGATGATGATGATGATGATGATGGTGCTGATGATGATGATGATGATGATGAGGAGGAGGAGGAGGAGGAGGAGGAGGAGGAGGAGAGGGAGACGGGGAAGGAGGAGGAGGCGGAGGAGGAGGAGTAGGAAGAGGAGGAAGAGGAAGAAGAGGAGAAACAAAAGGAGGAGGAGGAGGATGGAAGAGGGAAGAGGGAGGAAGGAGGAGGAGGAGGAGGGTGGAAGAGGGAAGAGGGAGGAGAGAGGAGGGAGGAGGGAGAAGGGAGGAGGAGGGAGGAGGAGGAGGAGGAGGAGGAGGAGGCGGAAGAGGGAGGAAGAAGAAGGAGGAGGAGGCGGAGGAGGAGTAGGAAGAGGAGGAGAGAGGAGGAGAAGGAAGAGGAGGAGGAGGAGGAGGAGGAGGAGGAGGAGGATGAGAGAGGAGAAAGAGGAGGAGGAGGATGAGGAGGAGGAGGAGGAGGGAGGAGGAGAGAGGAGGGAGGAGAGAGGAGAGAGGGGTGAGGCACAAGCTAGGTGCGCTCGCGTCATATCTGACGTCCTACTCCTCCCTCCCATCCTTATCATGGCGTAGATCTCATCTCTACTCGCACAGTCTGATGTCGTAGCAGGGAACAGCATTACATGGCAGAGCATGGTGTTGAATATCAACGCGTAGCCTGACATAGCATGGCGTGGCGACGCCCCAAAGTGGAGGGGGGTTTCTGCGGCCCAAAAAACTAACGGATCGACACCGAATGTGTAATCACTCCCGATGGTTTTTTTGTCGGGGGGCCATTTTCTAGATTTTGGGGCCTGTTTGGAAGGACCGAAGACCATGTCGTGGCATGGCGCTGGAAATAATGACGCCAACTCTGCAGCGGGAGCACGATTCGGAACGAGCGGAAGCGCGGAAATGCGGCCAGCGTTGCAGCGGGAGCACGATTCGGAGGACGCGCAGCCTGACATAGCATGGCGTGGCAACGCCCCAAGGGGGGGGGTCTCTGCTTCCCAGCACATTAACGAATCGACACCGAATGTGTAATCACTCCCGATGGTTTTTTCGGGAACCATTTTCTAGATTTTGGGGCCTGTTTGGAAGACCATGCCGTGGCATGGCATGGCGCTGGAAATAGTGACGCCAGCGCTGCAGCGGGAGCACGATTCGGAACGAGCGGAAGCGCGGAACTGAGGCCAGCGCTGCAGCGGGAGCACGATTCGGAACGGGCAGTAGCCCGAAAATGAGGCCGGCGCTTCAGCGAGCAGCATTAAAAAACCCAAGCGCGGAAGCGCGGAAATGAGGACGCGTAGCATGACATAGCATGGCGTGACGACGCCCCAAAGTGGGGGGGGCTTCTGCCGCCCAGAAAATCAACGAATCGGCACCGAATATGCGATCATTTCCGATGGTTTCTTCAGGGAGCCGTTTTTTTTTTTTTTTTTTTTTTTTTTTTTTTTTTTTTTTTTTTTTTTTTTTTTTTTTTTTTTTTTTTTCTTTTGTTTTGTTATGTTTGAAAAAAATGGGGCCATTAGGAAGGACCGAAAACCATGCCGCATGGCGCTGGAAATAATGGCGCCAGCGCTGCAGCGGGAGCACGATTTGGAACGAGCGGAAGCGCGGAACTGAGGCCAGCGTTGCAGTGGGAGCACGATTCGGAAAGAGCGATAGCCCGAAGATGAGGCCAACACTTCAGCGAGAGCAGTTCTTTGAACAACAGCCCAAGCGCGGAAGCGCGAACATGAGGACGCGTAGCCTGACATAGCATGGCGTGGCGACGGGGTCTTCTGCGGCCCCAACAGTCAACGAGTCGACACCGAATGTGTAAACATTTCCGATGCTTTGTTCGGGGGGCCTTTTCTACATTTTGGGGCCTGTTTGGACGGACCGAAAAACATCCATGCCGTTGCATGGCGCTGGAAATAATGATGCCAACTCTGCAGCGGGAGCACGATTCGGAACGAGCGGAAGCGCGGAAATGAGGCCAGCGCTGCAGCGGGAGCACGATTCGGAACGAGCGGTAGCCCGAAAATGAAGCCAGCGCTTCAGCGAAGGCACTTTGACAAAAAGCCCAAGCGAAAATCCAACTCCTGGGAATCATGTATGAAACAAACCAACATGCGGAGGGGGGCCGAGCAATCCCCGGACGTTACCTGGGGAGAGTGGAGAGTAGTATTCATATTGTTTAGTTGTAGGAGGAGGAGGGAGGAGGGAGGGAGGTAGGGAGGCAGGACGGGAGGGAGGAGGAGGAGGAGGAGGAGGAGGAGGAGGAGGAGGAGGAGGAGGAGGAGGAGGAGGAGGAGGAGGAGGAGGAGGGAGGAGGGATGAGGGATGGGATGAGGAAGGAGGGAGGAGGGATGAGGGAGGAGGGGGGAGGCAGGAGGAGGTGGGAGGAAGTAGGAGGGAAGAGGAGGCAGGAGGAGGTGTGGAGGAGGATGGGGGAGGAGGAAGAGGATGAGGAGGAAGAGGAGGAGGAGGAGGGAGAGGAGGAGGAGGAGCCGGAGGAGGAGGAGGAGGAGAAGGAGGAGGAGCAGGAGGAGGAGGAGGAGGAGGAGGAGGAGGAGGAGGAGGAGGAGGAGTGGGCGGCTCCCGCGGGCTCTCTGGCGGGCCGAGGCCCCTCGCAGACCGCGCAGCCTCGGGCGCCGCTGGGCGGGCGATGCTGGGCTTCCCTCCGTCGTCTTCGCCCTCGGGATGTTCTTTTCCTCCTTCCTCCTCCCCCCTCCCTGTTATCCTCCCCTCTCCTCCCTCCCTCCTCCTCCCTGCCTCCCTCCTCCCTCCCACCTCCCCCCTGTTCCTCTCTCCACCTCGTGCTCCTCGTGCTCCTCCCTCTCCTCCTCCTCCTTTTCATCTTCCTCTTCCTCCTCGTCGTCGTCGTCCTCCTCCTCCTCCATCCTTATTTTCTATAACCAAGTACTCTCTGCCTCACCCGGAGGCTGGTCGAAAAGGCGGGATGGGCGTTCCGCCTGAGATTTCTTTACCGTTTACGATCCTGAAGCTCCAGAATTGGCCAGAGGTTCACGGATGGAGGGCTGGTGGTTTTCAACATGTGGCTCTCGCCTCAGCGTCGCGCACACCCGTCCTGAACATTTGCAAGAGTTTCACGGGTTTTCGGCGGCTCGTTTTCAAGATGTGGCTCTCGCCATAGCGCCGCGCACATTCGCTTTTTTACGTATGTATGCATGCATGTATGTATGTAACTATTTGTAAAACTACTTAAGCATATTTTTAAATGTATGCATATATGCAAATTGCAATAGTCGCACGGATAGAGGGACTCGTTCTCAAAATGTGGCTCTCGTCTTAACGACGCGTCCACTCGTCTTAAACATTCGCAAGAGTTTCACGGGTTTGGGGCGGCTCGTTTTCAACATGTAGTTCTCGCCATAGCGCCTCGTACGTTGATTTTCAACATTTGCAACAATTTCGCGTGCTCCCATGGTTAACGTACCGGAAATGGTGTTTTGGAAAGATTCTGGGTTATCAGGGCGCAACAGCTACACTGGTTCGCGGTGTTGAGATCCCAGGAATGGCGTTCTGGCAAGATTCAGGATCGTCAAAATGCCAAAGTCAGGTTGATTCGTGGCGTGGAAGTTCGGAGAATGGTGCTTTGGCACGCTTCAAGATCTTCACCGCGTTGTCTCCCAACGGGGCACTCTCCTCAGTGAAAGTGAACCCTTGTAGGGGCTTCTGAAAAGGGAGCTTGGAGGGAGGGTTTATTCCGACATCGTTGATGGATCTTGGGTTTACACTGGTCCTCCTCCTCCTCCTCCTCGCTCGTAATTCTCTCCTCCTCGTCCGCCTCCTCCTCCGCCTCCTCCTCCCTCCACCGCCCGCTCCATGTCCTAAGTTGGTGGCAAGGTCATCAGCTCGTCGTTGCCGTTGTCGTCATGGTCGTCGTCGTCGTTATTCCGGGTCGGCGGCACGGGTCATGAGGCCTGCACAGGACTTCGAAACGAATAGATGGCACAACATCTATCGAACCATATATATATATATATATATATATATATATATATATATTCCACCACATATATTGCACCGCAAGTACTTGCACCACATATGCTGCCCCATGTAGACTGCTAGAAACGTACAATTTGGGTCCGCGCTGGCTTACATTTAAATGATCCGCTTGATTTTGGCTTTTTCAAAAAAAAGGTGCTCCCGCTGGAGCATGCGCCTCATTTTCGGATTGGCGCTATGCCCCCGTCGTTCAGAGTGGCTCTCTTGCCCCAGTGCGGGCAGCTTTGTGGACCAGAGTCCCTTTTCATCGTTGTCGCCCGCCTCATTTCTCATCCCCCGCCTTTCCCTTGTCCTCCTGCTCCTTCCCGCTCCTTCCACACCAGCTCCTGCTGCTGTTGCTGTTCGTCATCGTCCCCCTTTTTTCTCATCCTCCTCCTATTCCTCCTGCTCACCCTCCTGCTCATCCGCCACCTACTCTCACCCAACGTATGCAGGCTTTGTTTGTCCGATTGCGCATGATGGGGTCCCCTTTGGAATTCCAGCACCGCTGTGACACGAGTCGGCGGATTAAGACTTCCTCTAGAGGTGAACATGGCGATATCGAGTTCGCGAGATAACATCGGCGCTGACGACCGGGCGGCGTCTGGACGAACTGCGTGCAGCACACGGGAGGAGATATATGCATTCATGTTGAATGGAGCTCGCGCGTGCGGAAAGTTGATGGAGTCGTGCGAGACAGCATGAGAGCAATCCCGGGAAATTGACGACCGAACCCCCCTCCCTCGGAAGAATCTTAACACGTGCGGGTTCCAGGGTCCGCGGATCCGATTTCGTCCGGTTCTCCGTTTTAGTGAAGAAAGCAATTTTGACATGGGGCAGTGATCGGATCAGCCATATAGCAGTGGACCGGACGCGGATCCAGATCCGCGTAGGCGGAAATCGGATCCACCGAAACAAAACCCAACACCAACATCGGATCCGCGCGAAGAGGAACAAACTTTCGTCCTGGGGATGGGTGTTTTGGCCTTCGGATTTGTTGGTCACCACACAGCCTACACCCATCAGGGTCGTCCGCGCGGGGTCCGACATTCAAGCACGTATTCCTGTCGTATACGATCTACAATCTGAGAAAAGCAAATCGCCCTCCATCGAGAGCCACCTGTTCAACAGATCCGCTGCCCTCCGCGTGCTCGTTCTGGAGGTTGGCCCCGCGCGGGCGACCCTGATGGGGGGGAGGTCGGGATGCGCGACGACGGAATCCGCGCCGAGCGCGAGGCGCCGCACCATCGCGTGAGGGAACGCACGGGCAGGCTGCTGGAGTCAGGGGACGCAGGGCCGAAACGCACTTGCGCAGGACGAGGGACTCTCCTCGGGAGGTGAACATGGCGATGATATGAGTTCGCGAGGTAGCATCGGCGCCGCCGAACGGACGGCGTCTGGACGGGCTGCGTGCAGCACGCAGGAGGAGAGAGGTGCATTCATTTTGAATGGGGCGCGCGCGGAAAGTTGCCTCTCTCCTCTCTCTTCCTCCTCCGTCCCCCCCCCCCCTCCTCCTCCTCCTCCTCCTCCTCTTCTTTCTTCCCTCCTCCCTCGCTCCTCCCCCCCTTCTCTCAATCCTCGTCCTCGCCCTTGGATGGCTCTCCGTCTTCTTCTCTTCTCTCTGGCTGGTTTGGCTCACGACAATCAAAGATTGAACGTCGAATGCGGGACATCCATTGCCCCAAACGCCATATTGGGCCTCCAGAAGCGTCCGGGGACCTTGAAGAACCTCCGTAGACCTCTTGAGATCAGGATCCGGGACGGCACCAACACTTTCTTTCAAATTCTCCTCCTCCTCCTCCTCCTCCTCCTCCTCCTCCCCCTCCTCCACACTCCATCTCTTTTCCTCCATCCCCCTCATAGCGTCACGGACATTCGTTATACCCACTCTGCACACACACTTCCAACAGTTACACGGACGGAGGCCCGTTCGTTTAGAACATGTGGATCTCGCCTTAGCGCCGCGCACACTCGCTTTTCTTGTTTCCAGCAGTTGCAAGGATGAAGAGCCTATGGTTTCCAACGTGTGGCTGTCGCCTGAACTCCGCGCGCACTCTTTTGTAATTCTCAACAGTTCAAAGATGGAGGCCAACTCGTTTTGTTGTTTAGTGCCTCAGTCGCTGGAAACTTCCTCGAAACCTATGACCCGAAGCCTCACTTTCTGCAACAGTTACTCGTGTCGAGGGCGACTCCTACTCGAAACATGCTTCTCGATGGGTACCCGCGAACTCGTGAACAGAGCAGAGAAAAATGTGCAACACTTACACGGATAAGAGGGGTCCGTGTTAAAGCGGGGCTATCCCTTGAACTTCATATCATCAGACCTGTTCGATTTTGTTAGCTTGGAGGATACAGGACGGATCCTGTACAACACGTGGTCTCGTCTGAGCGGCAGGTCCACGGTGTGCTCGTCATTTGAAGGGGGCAATTCTCGCAGTGGGCAGTGGGCAGGGGAACATACTTGCACTGACCTGATCGGAAGGGGGCTTCGGAAGGAAGGATGTGCTGCAGCATCTTTGAAGCATCTTCGGTTTACTCTGGTCCTCCTCCTCGGCCTCATCCTTCCCTGCCTCCTCCGTCTCCTTCCTCCTTCCTCCTCCTCCTCCTCCTTCTCCTATTCCTCCTGCTGCTCCTCCTCCTCCTCCTCCTCCTCCTCCCTCCCCTCGTCCTTCTCGTCCTCCTTGTCATCCTCTTCCCTCCTCGTCCTCGTCCTCCTCCTCTGCCCGTGGCTCAAGGCTTCCGGCGACGGCACCCGTTTCTTTCAATCGGCGCCATATCGTTCCGTCGACTTTGCGCCTCCAGGCTGTGCGTACCTTCTCCTCGTCCGCGTCCGCGACTGCGTCCTCGTCGTGGTCGCGGTGGTCGTCGTTATCGTCGTTATGGTCCTCCTCCTCATCTTCCCCATCCGTCACTTTTCCTCCATTTTTATTATTCCTCCACCTGCTCCTCCTCCTCCTCCTCGATTCCTGTTGCTTGTAAATAGCTTCTCCCTGTCGCATCCCGAAACCAGATTTTAGGGCGGACTAGGCGTTTCGCCTGAGACTTCCTCACCTTTATGACTCTGAAGTTTAGAATTGGCAACAGTTTCACAAATGGAGGGCGGGTGGTTTTCAAAATTTGGCTCTCGCCGTAGCGCCGCGCACATTCGTTCAACACATTTGCAAGAATTGCACGGATTGCGGACGGCTCCTTTTCAAAATGTGGCTCTCGCCTTAGGGCCGCGCACATTCGCTTAACACAAATGGGAAGAGTTTAACGGATTGAAGGCGTCTTTTGTCAACATGTGGCTCTCGCCTTAGCGCCGCGTGCATTCGTTTTCAACACATTGCACGAGTTTCACGGATTGAGGGCGGGGGGTTTTCAACATGTGGCTCTCGCCTTAGCGCCGCGTGCATTCGTGTGACAAACTTGCAAGAGCTTCACGGATTGAGGGCGGTTCCGTTTTAAAATTGGCTCTCACCTAAGCGCTGCGCAAATTCGTTTATACCATTCACAAAAGTTTCACGGATTCCCATGATCAGCGTACCAGAACTGGTGTTTCTAAAAGGTTCAGGATTATGCGGGTGCAACAGTTACGTTGGTTCGGGGTGTTGAAGTCCCAGGAATGGCGTTCTGGCGCGATTCAGGCTTGTCAAGACGCAGCAGTAAGGTTGATCCGTGGCGTTGGAATCCCGAGAACAATGTTTTGGCATGCTTCAGAATCTTCAAACGGTTGTCTTCCAAGGAGGCAGTTCCCTCAGTGGAGATGAACCTTTGTAGGAGCCTATGAAGAGGGAGCTTGGAGGGAGGGTTTATTCCAACATCGTTGATGGCTCTTGGGTCTCCTCCTCCTCCTCCCCCTCCTCCTCTTCCTCTCCCATCCCCATCCGTCACTCTTTCTCCTCCCCTATCCTTCCTTCTCCTGCTCCCCCCTCCTTGTCAAGTGAACAGAACCCGACGAACAACTCTGCGCGACCATCTCTTCCGGCCACTGGGGGTCTGGTCCCTACAACAGCAAACGTGCGCGGACATGCTTGCAAAAGGCCGATCCGGACCGACGGTTGGCCACGAGCGCAACGGGTCCCGAGGTCGGGTGTGCCGACGAGGGGGGCCAGGCAGAGGCGGTCTGCGCATCATTGATCGAGGCCTGTCCGCGGATGAGGGGGGCCAGCGACAACGTATCGAAACAACAACAACAATAATAATCATATTGGCCAGCGTGGAACCCAAGCAGTGTGTTTCTGGCAGCTTGTGTGGTGCGATACATGTTGTGCAATCTGTGTGGTGTAATATCATAGGTGGTACAATCTAGGTTGAGCAATCTATGCTGTGCAATCTATGTGATGCGCAATCCATGCAGTGCAATCGACGTGGTGCAATAGATGTGGTGGGGCCTACGTTGTGTAATTGGTATGATGCAATATGTGTTGTTCATATCTATGTCGGTCACTCTATGTGGTGCAATGTATGTTGTGCAGTCTATGTTAATAATACAATATATGCGGTGCGGTCTTTGCGGTGACGAGGCGGCGGCGGGAACATAGCCGCCAGACCGACAAACTGGCCCAGACGACGGGCGGCGACGAAGCGGCGACGGCGGGAACATAGCCGTCAGATTGACAAACCGGCCCAAATGATGGGCGGCGAAGAAGCGGCGACGGCGGGAACATAGCTGCAATATTGACAAACCGACCCAGTTTCTTAGATCACAAGTGAGAGCCCTTAAGTGCAAGCAGTGTCTTGGGAATCAGAAGAACCATCCGAAAAGCAAGTAGAAGAGTAGGGCCATCACATCTGGCCCGGAGGAAAAGGAGCAATTTCCCGGAGCTCCGTTTTAGCAGCCACGGGTTCGCCAGCCTTCGCTGGCGGCGGGCACAAGGGGGTGGAGGGGAGAGGGGAGGGCTTCTTAGGAGGCTGCTTCTTAGTAGGCGCCGGCCTCACATCTATAGATGAGGCCCGCGCCTTTTAAGCAGAAGGGGTGCTTCTAAGAAACCCTCCCCCCTCCCCCCTCCCTCCTCTGCGCGTGGCTGACTTCGCCTGGCTTCTGAAAGGCCCCTCTGGGCGGGGAAGATGGGGGAAATCTCGGGCCCCGTTCGCGGCAGGACCCCACCAGAGGTCCCGCGGGTTCCACGGGCCCCGCGGATCGCACGGGTCCCACGGCTCCCGCCTGCCCCGCGGGTCCCACCGGCCACCCCCTGCCGCTCTGACGGTGCCTCGCTGGGGTGACGGAGCTCCAGGTCGGCTGTGACACGCGTCCACGGGTGGAGACAACATCAGCGCAGGGGGGAACGGAGGGGAGGCAAGGATCGGATGTCGGATGTGGCGCGAGCGCACCTGGCTCGTCCGGGACCCCTCTTCCCTTTGCCTCGACTGCGCAAGTCCTCGTGGAGGAGGCCCCCGGGGATCTCGATCCCTTTTCCGAGGCCGGTCTTCCACCCCGAGCCGTTTTTTTTGAGGCCGGGGTGCGGCCTCCTGAGGGCTAGGACGACTCCCAAACCGGCCGTCACGATGTCTATGCGTCGCCTGGATCTGAGTGGCCTCCATAGCGAGCGATAACAAAAAAACGCTCTCGTCGGTGCCCTGGCGACCGAGGATCGGTGGCGCACCCAGGGAGGGAGGCAGAGAGGAACAGTGGGCGGGCCTTCCCAGAGGGCTCAGAAGGCCACTGGCTGAGACGCCTACTACGCCCTCTCCGAAACCACCGAAGGCTTCTTAGAAGGCCGGGGGGCTTCCGAGAAGCCCGGCCGCCTTCTGTGAAAGCCTGCTCCCTCTCGGGGGGGGCAAAAAGGTAACGATACCGCAACTCCCCAGACATCTCCCATGGTGCATTCTGATCAGAATTTCGAGGCGTTAGCGACGAGGGCCCGCAGGAGGCCGAAGAAGGCGAACATTAGTCAAGGGTAGCAGTATCTAGGCTACCCAATGTCGCGCGCATCGCGCCCAGCGATGCACGACGCGCGATCATCTTCGCGCCCTCGCGCCCCTGAGACGCCCCCTTGGAGAAGAGCAGCCTCTCCAGCCAAGGCCGCGACGCGCGAATCGCGATTATTTTCGCGCACCTGGGGGTGATCTAGGGCATCTCGGGCGCGCGCTAAAATGGATTTTGTCATCCGTGGACATGGTGCGTGGGCACCAGATCCATGAATCGGGGAAGGTACCCCCGACACATCAGGCCATTGTCGCGCCTGATTGGGCGACGACGTGCGCCGATGTTGCAGGGACACAGGGGCCTGTCGCTGATCCACGCGCCTTCATCCATGTTAATTAGCGTTATCTTATTCGGAGTTTCGACATTGGGCGAGAGGGGGGGGAGGGGGGGGGGGTCTGGCTCTGGACCTCTGCTTGGTGTGGCTGTTTGCAGCAGTGCGTCCTGTGGGGGAGAGGCCCCGCCCGGTCGAAACAGGCGCCAAAAACAGCCAAGATCTACTCCAAGGGAGGAATGGGGAGGAATGGGGGGGAGTGCGAGGACCGCGCCGATCGGCCACACAATGACTAGAAAAACGATCCCTGGGGTTCCCATCGAGCATCGATGCCTGTTCCGCCTCGGAACCTCGCTGCCCCCCTCGGCGCGGCGCGCCGCCGCGTGGAGCCCCCAGGGCGGAGGAGGGGAGGAGGAGGAGGAGGAGGAGGAGGAGGAGGAGGAGGAGGAGGAGGAGGGGGAGGAGGAGGAGGAAGGAAAAGGAGGAGGAGGAGAAGGAGGAGGGGAGGAGGAGGGAGCGAGGAGGGAGGAGGAGGAGGAGGAGGGAGGAGGACGGAGGAGGAGGAAGGAGGAGGAGGAGGAGGAGGAGGAGGAGGAGAGAGGAGGAAGGAGAGAGGAGGAGGAGGGGAGGAGGAGAGGAGGAGGAGTGGAGGAGGAGGAGGAGGTGGGGGAGGAGTGGGAGGAGGAGGGGGGAGGGTGGGAGGAGGGGGAGGGGGAGGGGGAGGGGGGAGGGGGGAGGGGGGAGGGGAGGGGGAGGAGGAGGAGGAGGAGGAGGAGGTAGTGAGGAGGAGGAGGAGGAGGAGGAGGAGGAGGAGGAGGAGGAGGAGAGGAGGAGGGAGGAGGAGGAGGAGGAGGAGGAGGAGGAGGGGGAGGGGGAGGAGGGGGAGAAGGGCGGCCCGCGGGGCCCGCTGAGTGCGCGGCGCGGGTCGCTGCCCTGGTTCTCGAAGGTGCAGCCCTCGGCTGCCGGGGGAGGTGCGGGCAGTGCGGCACGGCTCCGGCGACGGGCACGGCACCTCCTCCTCCTCCTCCTCGTCCTCGTCCTCGTCCTCGTCCTCGTCCTCGTCCTCCTCCTCCTCCTGGTTCCTGGTGGCTGCAAAGTTCGGTGAACGTAGCCCTCACTCTTTCTCCTCGTCCTTCTCCCTTCTCCCTCCTCCTCCTCCCTCCCCCCCCCCCCCTCCCTCCTCTTCTCCTCCGCCTCCTCCTCCTCCTCCTCCTCCTCCTCCTCCTCCTCCTCCTCCTCCTCCTCCTCCCCCTCCCCCTCCTTCTCCTCCTTTGCTCCGTTGGTGCCTGGATCCCCTACACTGAAAGCGCGAACATGCAGAAACAAAAAGGGTGAGTCAGGGTCGGTTGCCTAAACACACCACGGATCGCTGCGCGCCCACAAGCTCCTGCGGTGAAGAACCTGAAGGAAAAAACGCAAACGACTTGGCAGGCAGCAGGGAACAAGACAGCTGGGGGGAACATGCCTCACTGCCTAAACGGTTTTCGAGCTGCGTCCGCCCCGCAGGGCTCAGATTACGACACCCCCAGTGCCGCCCCGATAAGCCACCCGAGGGGCGACACTCCCTCGGGCGACCGCACGCCCCCACGCACTCCAGGGCGGGGGCCCTTGGCCGTGGGAAGGATGGGTGCGGTTCCGCCATGAACCCCCCGAAGGGGACCCCCCACCCGCCCAGGCACCCGCGGCGTACGGGCCGGGCCACCGCAAGGGGTGGGAAACGTGGCGACGAGGGTGCAATTTTCTCTCCCCCTGGCCCCCTACGGGCAAACAGGGGTGACGAACGGGCTGCTACCCGCCTTTTTTCCTGGGACGCCCGAGGGCACCCAGTGGCACAGGTGCCCCCCCTCCTCGTCCTCCTCTTCCTCCTCCTCTTCCTCCTCCTCCTCCTCCTCCTTCTCCTCGTCCTCCTCCTCCTCTTCCTCCTCCTCGAGAGAACCCCAGGGCCGGCCCAAAAAATCCGAGCGGGCCTCTCGTGCTGATACCGTGCTGATGCTCATTTCCCAAGGTTAATTGGAGGCCCAGCGAATGGGCCGATCTCGACTCCCTTGCCACTGCCCCTGCCGTCGCCGCTTCCTGCAGAGCAGGCGGCCGCTCGAGAGCGCGACTTTCTCACCGTGCATTTTACTGGCGAGCCTGTGGCCTCTCGGCCGGTGCTGAATTCCCCTCGAGGGGGATGAGGATGAGGATGAGGATGAGGATGAGGATGAGGGGGAGGAGGAGGACGTACGTATCTGTTGGGACGTATCTTGAGGTGGGGGGGGCGCCCGTGGCGCCCCCCCACCTTAGCGTGAACACGTCGGGCACAGAGGGGGCTACTCGCCACGTGACTCGCTGCCCCGACGACGGCCCCCCGCAGCCATGGTTCACCCGCATTCTGGCGGGGGCTGCGCTGGCGTGGTTCACCTGCCTACGGTTTTCAGCCGTATGCTCAAAGAGCGGCAGGGCCAGCTTGGGGTAGCAGCCGACGGGCACGTGCATACGGGGTCCGCGCTGGCAACGGGCGAGATTAACTGATCTCGAAACCCGAGGATCCCCGTCCGGGAGTGGGCGCAAGCCCCACGGGGTTCACGTGCCACACGGCACCACCTCTCCCAGAAATGCACGATCGTGGCTGCAGCTGACGCCACGGCAGTGGGCCAAAATTCAGACCACACTGCTTCGGGTTCAGGGGAGCCAAACTCATCCCTGCCCGCGCAAAGTGACGGCGGCCTTCCCGCTCCCGCATGTCCACCGCAACTGGCCCTGTCAGTATGCCCCAGGGCGAGTGTGGCGCTGACACCATGAGAACAGGTGCCAAGCCCCCGCAGGGGGAGGAGGAGGAGGAGGAGGAGGAGGAGGAGGAGGAGGAGGAGGAAGAGGAGGAGGAAGAGGAAGAGGAGGACGAGGAGGAGGACGAGGAGGAGGAGGAAGAGGAGGAAGAGAGAGGAGGAAGAGAGAGGATGACTAGTGTAAACCCGAGCCTCAACAACGATGTTGCCCTCTAAGGTCCCTCTTCACAACTCACTGCAAGGACTTATACGCTGAGGGAAGTACCCGCTGGAAGAGAACCGTCTGAAAATCCTGTACCGTGCCAAAACACCAGCCACGCCAGAAATCAACGTTCCTGTTGCGTCATGACGACCCTGAACCGTGCCAGAACACCCTTTTCTGGGGACTTCAGCACCGTGAATCAACGTGACTGTTGCGCCCTGACAATCCTACATCGTGCCGAAACAATCTTTGGGACGGCGGTTCTAAGAACCCTTGAAGCTGTAACGGACACTTGAAACGAATGTTCGCGGTGCTGAAACGAAACCCACATTTTGAACAAGAAACGCCCTCCACCCGGGACGTTTTTGCGAACTTTTGAAACAACTGTGCGCGGCATTAGGGCGATAACCACACGTTTAGAACGGCCCGCCCACCCTCCGTGAAACCCTTGCCAGCTTTTGAAACGAATGTGCGCGGCGATAAGGCGAGAGCCAGGTTCCATCTGTGAAGCTCTCGCAAACTTTTAAGACGAATGTGCGCGGCGCTACGGCGAGGACCACATTTTGCAAACGTCCCGCCGTCCATCTGTGAAGGTCTTGCGAACTTTTAAGCCAAGGCGTTGTGTATTGGCGGTCTGAGAATGAATCTACCTGTGAGTGAGTTGGAATGTGAATGAGTCTCAGTCGTGCGAGTGCGTCTCTGCGCATGAGCCTGGGGCCTCCTGGGGCCTCCTGAAACCTTCTGGGGCTTCCTGGGGCCTCTTGGAACCTCTTGGGGCCTCCTGGGGTCTCTTCGGGCTTCCTGTAGCCTCCTGGGGCATCGTGTGGACTCCTGGAGCCTCCAGGAGCTTTCTGGGGCCTCCTGGGGAAGGTTCGTGCTCCAGGAGAAGCCCAATCTATAGGAACACGATCAAGCATGTAGGATTGGAGCCACAAGAGACGGGCAGGACAACACATGTAAGACACAAAAGGCTCGTGCCCCAGGGCAAGCCCAATCTATAGGAACACATGTAACAACACATCGGATTGGAGACGCAAGACAGATACACACTATATAAGCATACGTAAAACACAAAGGACTCGTGCCCCAAAGGAGGTCCAAACTATAGGAGCACACGAAAAACACCAGGAAGGAGCCACTAGTGTGGCCTTCTGAGTCCTCCTGCTCCTGGGGCCTTTTGGGGCCTCCTGGGGCCTTCGGGGGCCTCCAGGTGCCTCCTGGCGCTTGTTGTGGCCTCCTGTGGCTTCCTGGTGCTTCCTGGGGCCTCCTGCAACCTCTTGGGGCGTCCTGGGGCTTCCAGTGGCCTCGTGGAACATCCTGGAGCCTCCTGAGGCCTCCTGGGGCCTCCTGTGGCCTGTTGAACCTTCCTGTGGCCTCCTGATGCCTCTTGGGACCTCCTGTGGACTCCTGGGGCCTCCTGGAGCCTGCTGGAACCTCCTGTGGCATTCTGGGGAGGATCCGTGCCCGCAAGTCTGGCCACCAAGAAACAAGCAAACCGCTCGAGATATCCTCAAGATCTGCCCCCCCCCCCCCCCCCCCTGGGGTGCGAAAACCAGCGCCTCGCTCGACACACCCTCTCAACATCTGCTCCAAACGCGGAGGATGTTGCGCTGGCAAACAAGCAAACCGCTCGAGAGATCCCCGCCATTTTGGCGCGAATGGAGGAGTGAGATACCCCCTGGCGGCTCCCCCTTGGGGGTGCTTCAACCTGCGCCTCGCTCGAGATATCCTCAGAATTTGCTCCGCCATCACCATCATCACCATCATCAGCATCGTCATCATCATCATCATCATCATCATCATCATCATCATCATCATCATCATCATCATCATCATCATCATCATCATCGTCACCATCATCACCATCATCGTCATCAACATTTTCATCATCGTCGTCATCATCATTCTCAGTATACCATACTATACCATACCATAGCATAACATAGCACAATCTAGCAAACACAATCATGCGATATCATGAGCAGGAGGAGGGAGGAGGAGGGAGGAGGTGTGAGTCGGCGCGGTCGGAGTACAAATTATTCACTGCCTGGAGCTCCCCATACGTGTATCTATTAGCACGGACCTGTCCGCCGTGAGTGTCTAAGCGCAAGAGTTTTCGAATCTAAACGGGCTTGAATATTGACGGTCTGGGAGTGAATCTACCTGTGCATGAGTTGGAATGTGAATGAGTCTCAATAATATTCGTGCGTCTCTGCGCATGAACCTGGGGCCTCCTGGGGCCTCTTGAAATCTCCTGGGGCTCCCGGGGGCCTCGTGGAGCCTCTTGGGGCCTCCTCGGGCCTCTGAGGGCTTCCTGTGGCCTCCTGGAGCCTCCTGGGGCCTCGTGTGGTCTCCTGGGGCCTCCAGGAGCCTCCTGGAACTTCCTGGGGCCTCCTGGGGAGGATTCGTGCCCCAGGAGAGGCCCAATCTATACGATCAGTCGTAAAAATACTTCGGATTGGAGCCACAGGAGAAAGGCAATCAAGAGGAACACGCGTAAACCACCAAGGACTCGTGCCCCAGGGGAGGCCCAATCTATAGGAGCATCAGTAAAACACTTAGGAGTGGATACGCAGGAGAAGGACAATCTATAGAAACCTTCGTACTCTGGGGGAGGCCCAATCTATAGGAACCACTCCTGTGGCCTTCTGAGGCCTCCTGAGCTCCTGGGACCTCTTGTGGCCTCCTGGTGCCTCCTGGTGCTTGCTGTGGCCTCCTGTGGCCTCCTGTGGCTTCCTGGTGCCTTCTGGGGCCTCCTGGGGCCTCCTGAAACCTCTTCGGACCTGCAAGGGCCTCCTGTGGCCTCCTGGTGCCTTCTGGGACCTCATGCGGCCTCTTGGGGCCTCCCGGAGCCTGCTGGAGCCTCCTGTGGCATCCTGAGGAGGATCCGCGCCCACGAGTCTGGCTAGCAACACCAGCAAACCGTTCGAGATATCCTCGCAATCTGGGCCGTCAGGGGTGCGAGAACCAGCGCCTCGCTCGAGACATCCTCCAAATCTGCTCCGAAAGCGGAGGATACTGGGGGCACAAGCAGACAAACCGCTCGAGACATCCCCGCCATTTTGGTGCGAACGGAAGAATGAGATACCCCCTGGCGGCTCCCCCTTGGGGGTGCTGATTACCGCGCCTCGCTCGAGACATCCTCATAATGCTCCGCCATGATCATCATCATCATCATCACCACCACCATCACCATCACCATCACCATCACCATCACCATCACCATCACCATCACCATCACCATCGTCATCATCATCATCATCGTCATCATCACCACCACCATCATCATCATCATCATCAATATCATTATCATTATCATTATCACCATCATCATCATCACCATTACCATCCCCATCACTATCACCATCATCATCAGCATCATCATCAGCATCATCATCATCTCATCATCACCACCACCATCATCATTCTAATCATTATCACCATCGTTATCATAACCTAGCATTTCATATCATATTACAGAATACCATCACATGCCATAACATACCTTACCATTGCAAAACGCAACATGACATTACATACCATAGCATACCACAATACAGCATAACATCACACAACATAGCATAATCTGAGGAGGGAGAGGTGAGGGTGTTCCTGTGGGCCTTCTCGGCGCGGTCAGAGTAATAGCACGAACACCATCCTTTGGATATGGGGAGCACGAAACCTGTCCTTTGGATACGGGGAAAGCGGAGCTAAAGACGCTAAAACGCCGTCGCGTTTTTTCCTGCAATCTTTTTAGGCTTGTCAAAGGCCCAAAATACAAAACGCCCAGGGCGTTGGCCGACGAATGTGGCATGCGTGTTCGCTACTTGTCTGCGAGGCCTGAATAGCTGCCACCCTCGTCAGAGAAGGAACCCTCCAGGGTCTGCAGCCTCCCGGGTGCATTCCGTAACCAACGCCCCCGCGTCGACTGCACGCCGGAGTGACCCTGGGCAGGAGTGACCTCCGATGCGCGGCTCCAGTGGGCCGCGGGCAGGCCGAGTCCAAGCGCGCAGGCCAGGTGCTGGGGGGGCCCCCGTGAGCCCGCACCCAAAGGTCACTCCGGCGAGAGGTCACCCTCTACGCGTACACGTCGTTCAGTTCTGATCGTGCTCGTTTCGAACTGTGCTCGTTTCTAATTGTTCCTGGCCCCCTAGTGGCCAGGGAGACGCCCAAGATAGAACAAATTAGGCATGAAAGGATCTTGGCCCCCAAAGCAATCGAAGAACCTTCGAAGACCTAGAAGGGAACCATGTGTACGTGTAGCCGACCGCGGGATCCCAACCCGCCTCGCCCGACCCGCCGCTGCCGCCCCTCCCCCCTCGCGCGGCCCGGCCGCGGGCAGCCCTTGAGGCCCGGGCGGGGCAGCTCCAGGTGCCTGGCGGAGTCGGCAGAGGGAAGGAAAAGAACTGCTGGCCCGCCGCCCCCCCCGAGAAGTGCGGCACGCCTGGGCCCCCTCGAGGCATGAAGAACTCACCGAGGAGAAACCTCCCCCGGGGGATGGGGTCCAGACCTAAGGGGGTCGAGGAGGAGGAGGAGGCGCAGGAGGAGGAGGAGGAGGAGGAGGAGGAGGAGGAGGAGGAGGAGGAGGAGGAGGAGGAGGAGAGCAGGAGGAGGAGGAGGAGGAGGAGGAGGAGGAGGAGGAGGAGGAGGAGGAGGAGGATGAGGGATGAGGATGAGGAGGAGGAGGAGGAGGAGGAGGAGGAGGAGGAGGAGGAGGCGGGGAGGAGGGAGAGGAGGGAGGGGGAGGAGGAGGAGGAGGAGCGAGGAGGAGGAGGAGGAGGAGGAGGAGGAGGAGGAGGAGGGGAGGAGGAGGAGAGGTGGGGAGGAGGGAGGAGGAGGAGGAGGAGGAGGAGGAGGAGGAGGAAGGAGGAGGAGGAGGAGGAGGAGGAGGAGGAGGAGGAGGAGAAGGAGGAGGAGGAGGAGGAGGAGGAGGAGGAGGAGGAGGAGGAGGAGGAGGGAGGAGGAGGAGGAGGTCATGAACAAATCATGACGTCGGGGGTCTGAGCCTCGGGAAGCGTTGTACACCGCTCCGAGCCCGAAGCGCGCCGGTTCGCAGCGAGCCGGCCAACCGTTGGGGGGGAACGCCTGGGGGAGGGGACCGGCTGAGGGGGGGGGGGGACCGGCCAAGGGGGGAGGGGGACATCGACGCTTCCGTTGGTTCTCGGCTGCTTACCAGCGTTGGGACGCCTTCCAGCGGCTGCGTCTTGCCGGGAGCGTTTCGGGGTTTCCGGGGTCGTCCCGAGTGGCCGCCAGAGGCTTGAGTTATGACCCGAAAACCACCAGTGGACTGGCTCAGGGGGAGACTCACCGAGCCAGAATCGGTGATACGTCGCCATGGATCGGCGTTTGGTCCCCGATTGCGAATCCGCACGCTCCTGGGCGGGGTGGGCTATCGGGCCGCTATCGGCTATCAATGGCCGAGTGGGGGTCGATGCAGTTCCCCCTGAGCTGATCTCCTCTGACGTTGCCGCTGAAGTCAGCCCGCCCTCGCCGCAGCAGCAGCGGCTGCTTCGACACAGCAGACGCATTTAGCAACTGAACATCGTGCGGCAAGGAGTCCTGGGGGCACGGCTGTCGTCGAGCTTTGAGCTTCGGGAGGCGCCCCCAGGTCTTCTGTGGGACCAGGCCATCGGGGGATACGAAACTTCCTGGGAGCACCTGCTGGCAGGCCAGTTTCCCACGTGACGTGCCTACTGAACGACGCCCGGGGACTACTGCACTGGATCCACAAATCTTAGGGCGTGATGCTGCGCGACGCAACAGTGAAGTGCTGGGACGAAGGCCACCGAGCGTCCGTCAGACAGACCAGAGGATCGCGTGGCAGAGACCTGAGTAGTCCAGCGCCCTCCCCCACGGGTCTTCTTGCGTCGACTGCGTCGTGCCACCGATGCCAATGTGGTCTGCCTGCGTCGAGTTCTTGGAGCCGCTGGCGACTTGCCAGATCTTTCCGCTGTCGACGGGAACCGCCCGTTGGCTTCGAAAGGCGCCCCCATCAGCGGCGCGAAGAAAGATGGGAGGGCAGGAGGGCAGGAGAGAGAGAGGTGGGACCCAGGGGCTCGAGGGACCCTGCGATTGCGTCCAAGACGGGTACCGCCTGCGACGGAACGGACAAGGCGAGGGCGAGGCTCACGCTGTGCACAGCGGGCGGCCGCGCTTGGGCGCGGCACCGCTGTCCGAAGAGCTGCCGCAGGGATTCGAAGAGATGCCCCCGCCTCCTCCTCCTCCTCCTCCTCCTCCTCCGAGAGAGAGAGAGAGAGGGAGAGAGAGAGAGAGAGATCGGGCCGCGCTAGAAGAGGTGGGAGGGGACGGAGGAGGAGCAGGAGCAGGAGTAGGAGCAGCAGCAGGAGCAGGAACAGGAGCAGGATGATAATGATGATGATGATGATGATGATGATGATGATGATGATGATGAGGAGGAGGAGGAGGAGGAGGAGGAGGAGGAGGAGGAGGATGTGGAGGCGTTGTCGTAGGATGAGGAGGAGGAAGAGGAGGAGAAGGAGGACGAGGAGGAAGAGGAGGAGGAGGAGGACGAGGAGGAGGAGGAGGAGGAGGAGGAGGAGGAGGAGGAGGAGGAGAAGAACAAGCTTCGAGCAATCTTGGTCTCACTATGTCTCGAGGGGGAGGAGGAGGGGGGGAGGAGGGGGAGAACAAGCTCCCAGCAATCTTGGTCTCAACATGTCTCCGCGTCGCGCCTGCAAGGTGCTGCTCCTCGCCGCCTCCCATCTGCGCCACGCTCAATTCCATCGCACGCCGGAGGTCATCGTCCACGTCCTGGCTGCTGTAGCAGCTCGAGAGTAGGGAGCAATGGAGGAGGACAAGGAATACGTAGGACGAGGAGAATTACTGCCTAGGACGTCTGGGATCCAGCCAAGGTTGCCTATGTGGGGTGTTGCTGCATGCGCCGAGTTCCAAAAAGCGTTGGCTTGCTCTCCCGCGTTGATTTGCATTCCGTCCAATCCGCCGACGTTGGCCAGGCCTCGATGAGGTCGTGGTCTTGGCAGGGGTAATCCATATTCATTGCGTCAAGCGCTTTGCAACTCTGATGGCTTGCTTCAATCTGTCCCCACTGCTCCATCCCCTGATGCCTGAAGGTTACTGGCTCCAAGGCGTCCGCTAGCGTTGTCGCGGTTTACCGCTGGACACTGCCGCCTCGTCTCCGTGGCCACGAAGTCCGCGCGGTGCCAAGAGATACCATGCCCTGCGCGTCGTGCCAAGAGGGCGGACCACCCGTCGGCTAGAAGAGGACACATCGACATAAACATTAACTTTCGGAGGTCCGCGCGGACTTCTTGGATCAGGGCTGGCCCCCCTCTCCCTGGCGCGCGAAGGGAGACGGTCCAGCGCAGCCCCAACAAACCCGCGCGGACCTCCGACAAATGATGCTCATCCCGACCTTCCTCTTCGACTAATCCTCTCCGTCTCCTGCGACCACACCCCCTTTCGTCTTCCCCCTCCTCGCGCACGGGCGCAGTCAGCGCGCTTCGCAGCCCGAACCGGTCAATCACCTCTTGGGACCGGGCCGCTGACACGAGAACTTTGTTGCGAAGGTCGTGCGCGTAAACGGAAGAGCGTATCTTGATATAGTGTTCATGGAGGAGCACAAAACTGCGCAACAATAACGAGGTCCGCGCGATTTTCTGGGATCGGCGCTGGACCTCGCGCGCCAGGGAAGGGGGTCCAACACCGATGCGAGAACTCCGCGCGGATCTCCTGAAGTGTATGTTTACGCAGTTTCTTCGACTTCGAAATACCTTTGCAAGGTGCCCTTGAAGACCCTCCATGAAAGGCCCTCTGGCTGCGAAAACGGCGCCCCGATACATGGGACGCAATCGCTGCACCACGACCCGCTTGTCCAACTTCAGAGCCCCCGAAATCCAAGACGTTGACAACTCGCTTTTACTTTTGCCACTTTCCACCAGGCTTCACATATAGATACACATATCTGTATACTAATACTTATGGTTATCATTATTACTATGATTACTATGAGTAAAATTATTACTAGTATTAGCATCATCATCATCACCATTATTATTCTTATGTTTATTACTACTATTTTTATTATTACGGTTATTATTATTATTGTTATTGCTATTGCCATTATTTTTATTTCATTTTTATTATTATTATTAGTCTTAGTCATATTTTCATGAACATTATATAGGTGTAAAGATCAAGCATAATTCGCATTTCTGTGTAATGGTCGTTGCCTGAGGGGAAGGTGTTAGGGCCCGGGGGAAAGGTCACGCTTGGAGGGGGGGCGGTCTGGGCACCTGCGCAAGGCCTGCGAGCTCCAGCAGGGCGCCTGTGAGCACCGGCAGGCCCCCCCCCCAAAAAAAAACGTGAAATCCTCACCGTTGCCCAGCGGCAGGAGAGCCCAGAATCGAATCGATTAGTCGGATCGGCGATCGAAATGAATCGGCAGCCGAGTCGGGAAAAGTCGCATCGGCGGAAATCGGCAGGCAAGTATGCCTCCAATAAAGAATCGGAATCCAAATCGGAATCCCCAGTCGAATCGGATCGGAATCAGAAGCCATCGAAATCGAATCGAATCGAAGGAGTCGAAATGAGCCCTGCAGGGGGGGGCGGGTTGGACTGGGTACAGTCAATGCGTATAATGAGCACGAACGACAATGATGCAAGGGCCTGGGAAGGAAGGTCATGCCCGACACTCTGCGAGCGGGGCGCGACCAGCGCCGGCCGCCAAAAGGATGGGCCGAAGGGGAAGGCTGCCAAGGCAGCCTTGGGAAATTGCGCGCCCTTGCTGTGCGGGCCGACTGTGCGATCGTCACCGTTGCCTCCTCCTCCTCCTTCTCCTCCTCCTCCTCCTCCTCCTCCTCCTCCTCCCCCTCCTCCTCCCCCTCCTTCTCCTCCAGGGGGGGGGGGGGGGGGGGGCGGGGGTCGGCCCGGGGGTGAGGACCGCTGGCCGCTGCGCGCCAGCTGCCAAGACACGGCCGCCCGGCTCCCGCTGGCGGGCCCGCCGCCTGGGCCGCCTCCTCCGCCCGCGGCGCCCGCCTCCCGCCGGCTTCGGCTGCCGAGGGCCCGGGTGCGCCGCAGGTGGCGGCGACCGGCAGGGCCGGAGGGGAGGAGGAGGAGGAGGAGGAGGAGGAGGAGGAGGAGGAGGAGGAGGAGGAGGAGGAGGAGGAGGAGGAGGAGGAGGAGGAGGAGGAGGAGGGGAGGAGGAGGAGGAGGAGGAGGAGGAGGAGGAGGAGGAGGATGAGGAGGAGGAGGAGGAGGAGGAGGAGGAGGGGAGGAGGATGAGGATGAGGAGGAGGAGGAGGAGGAGGAGGAGGAGGAGGTGGAGGCGACCGGCAGGGCCGGGCGCACGAGGGCCCGCGGCCCTGCCGGCGCGGGCGCACCGCCACTCGCGGGTGGATCGTGGCCCTTTCGGCTCGGCGGCGAGAGGGGCGAGTGGCCCAGGGGCGGGCATTACGTGTATGCGCCTGGGAGCCTATCCGAAGGCATAGGTCATCGGCGCACCTGGACACATGCATGGCTCTCCCCTGGGCTATTCGCCCTCGTCGTCGCCTCTGACTCCTGGCCCTCTGTGGGAGCGCGGGGGAGGCCCGCCGGCGCGCCGCCCGCCTCCCGCCGACAGCTCTCTCTCCCAGCTCCGGGGGCGCCGGGAAGGCAACCCTCCCAGCTGGGAGGGTTGCCCTCCCAGGTGGGAGGGCTGCCTTCCCGGCTGGGGATCGGAGGACGTCTAGACATCCGCCGATCTGCTTTTTTCTCTCTTCCATCCGCGGCCCGACCCGTTCCCCGGGGGTGTCGCTTCGTCCCGGATGCACTCTTGAGGGTCCCCGGGCCCGATGGCCGGGCCCCGGGGGGGGGGCCGAAGTCGATGCAAACCGCCGCCAGCTCGAGACGATCCGATGCCCCCGGGAGGTCTGGGCTGGTGCTCCCTGCTCGTCAGCGGCGCCCCGGGTCCGCATCGCGGGCGAGCTGCGTCGGGGCACGGGCGCGGCGGGCTGCGGCACACGCGGCACGCGCGCGCGGCACGGGCAGGCCGCACGCGCGCACGGGCAGGCCGGGTGGCGGCACTGCGAGGTGTCTGGCTGCAGGGGTGGGAGGGCGGGGGAAGAGAGGAGCGGCCGCGGGAGGAGGGGAAGGAACTAGTGTGTGCTCGAAGCGGGTTGCGGCACCAGGGGCACGGGAGAGGCCAGAGGGCAGGAAAGAAGAGGCTGCGCGCGGCAGGAGGGCCTCCTCGGACCATGAGATGGCTTCGGGATGTGCCGAACCCTGGTGCCCACAAGCAGGTAAGCATATACCCCTGACAATCACAGGGTGGGGATATAATAAAGTTCAGGGCTCGGGGGGACCATATTTTCCGTCCCGGCACCTCATGCGTACGATGAGATGCTAGTATGCTATAGCGAGGGGAGGGAGTAGGAGCTTCTGGGGGGGGTGGGGTTAACCAGGAGCTCGGGCTCGGGTCGTGCGCTGCCTCCTGGCTCTGCCGGGGAGCTGCAGGCCTCGGAGGATAGCTCGGCCCGAGCTTTTGGACACCGATCAAGCCCAGAGGCTGGGCGCGCCGCGCACCTGGCAAAATCCGTCAGCATGGCATCGGACATCGGTTTGACTCGGCATGTGCTCTGGATCAGGCCGCATCGGCACGGAGCCAAGATCGAATCGGAGTCAAACAACGCCACGCAAACATCAAGCTGGATCGCATCGCGTGAACGTCAAGAGCGAATCGGATCGGATCGGGCCTGCCTGAACCGACCCGATCGAAGTCGATCCTGCGAGACCGAAGAGCATCTTATTTTTCCGAGAGGGGGGGGCAGAGGTCCCAGCCCCTTCCCTGGGGATATTTTTCCATCCTGGGCTCCTTTCTGGTGGCCCCACGGCCTGAGAGGGGCCCCCGAGAGCCAGCATCGAAGAAACGCCGCCAGGGTGATACCATCATCTCGTCGGAGTTATGGGTCTGCCCGGTGGCAGCTCCCCTTAGATCTGACGCTGCCAAAAAAAACACATCGCAGAAAATCGCGACCAAAGCACAGACCCCATCTTTCTGCGTCATGTGTAGAGCCGGATCGATATGTGAGGGTCCCGGGGCCAGAAATGGAGAGGAAACGCCCGACTCGAAAACAATGAGTCGCCAGGATCTCAGGGCCGATGTCGTAATTTTATCAAAACAGAGTCCTCAGAAGTCTCGAACCATTCCCCAGCACCGGTTTTTCATCCTGAGTCGTTTTTTGACGGCCCCGGGGCCTGGCGAGGGCCCCTCGAGGCCGAGAATCGAGAAAAACCTCTGCCTGTTTTTTTTCATACGTTCGGCCTCTGGGGATCCTCGCACTTTGTTTTGCTCGCGTTTTGCTTTCCTCTTTTCTCGCGGGGGGGGTGCCTATGTGTCTGGCACGGCGGCAGCCCGCAGAGCGACGCCGCAGGGCCTCGCTGGAAGCGCCCCCCTCTCCCCCCACGCCGTCCTCGCCGCCGGCCAGGCCCTCCTCCGCACGGGCCAGGCCGTCCTGGGCACGGCCGGGGCTGGGGGGGGAGGAGGAGGAGGAGGAGGAGGAGGAGGAGGAGGAGGAGGAGGAGGAGGAGGAGGAGGAGGAGGAGGAGGAGGAGGAGGAGGAGGAGGAGGAGGAGGAGGAAGAGGAGGAGGAGGAGGAGGAGGAGCAGGAGCAGGAGGAGGAGGAGAGGAGGAGGAGGAGGAGGAGGCAGAGAGGGGAGAGAGAAGGAGGAGAGGAGGAGGAGGAGGAGGAGGAGGAGGAGGAGGAGGAGGAGGAGCAGGAGCAGGAGGAGGAGGAGGAGGAGGAGGAGGAGGAGGAGGAGGAGGAGGAGGAGGAGGAGGAGGAGGGGGGGGGGCAGCTGCGGGTTTGAGGCTGGAAATCTTTAGACGGTTCGGGGTCTGAGGTTCGAGGCTTGAGGAGTGCCGCACGGGCCAGGCCCTCCTCCGCACGGGCCAGGCCGTCCTGGGCACTGGCGGGGGGGGGGGAGCTGCAGGTTCGAGGCTCGAGGTCTTCGGACGGTTCGAGGTCTTGAGGTTCGAGTCTCGAGGTGCGCCAAGGGCCAGGCCCTCCTCCGCACGGGCCAGGCTGTCCTCGGGGGCAATGTCGCGTTCGAAAATCGAAGAGAAAATCAAATTTCGGGTTCGAAAATTGAGAACTTCGGGTTCATCCGAAGCCATGTCATCCGGACTAGTGCAGCCGAGACGAGTTCGTCGGGACGCATTCGTCAAGACAACTTCCTCCGGACGAGCTCATCCGTGGACGATCTCATCCAACAACGAGATCACCCGCCGACGAATTCATCTGGACGAACATTTCCGGACAACTTCATCGAGACGAGTTCGTCCAGAAAAAGTTCTTCCGGATGGACTCGCCGCGGAAGGAACCGTTCATGATGAACTGGTCGTCCTCCGAGGTTCGAGGCCTTCGGATGGTTCTCGGCGGTCTTCCAGCCTCGGGACGCTTCCCAGCGGCTGCGCCTCGCCGAGGGCGCTCGGGGGGTGCTCGACTCGTCCCGAGCGGCCGCAAGAGAACCGAGCTATGACCCGAACGCCAGGCCTCCGCCGGGCAGGGCCAAGCCCCGCGTCCCCTCGTTTTTTTGGGTTATGTTATGCTTCTTGTTTCCCATGCTCTCGTGTGTCCCATTATCTTCCTGCTTTTTTTTTCCGGGTTCTTCCCATGTTTTTGTTGTCGTTTGTTTTTTCTTGCTTCTTGTTTCCCATGATGTCTTGCTGGTGTTCTTCGCCGGCACCCCTCGGGAGCCAGCCGGGCTGCGAGGACCGGGCTGTCCCGTGCCCTGCGGCAGCTCCGGCTCCCATGTCACGTTTGCAGGGCTTCTCTCTTTTGTTTCGAGTTCCGATGCCGTGACGGGTGAGGTCGGTGAGGTCCGCGCGGGGGCCTGAGCCCGAGCAGTGGCAGCTGACCGCGCCAGTCAGAATCACGTGCTCTGGACCTCTGGGGGGTTGCCCTGGGACACGTAGAGGTAGAACGCGGCAGGTTCGCGCCCCCCGAGGCTTCGGTATTGCTTTGCAGCAGATCAGCGCCCCCGAGGCTACACCCCTTTGCGCTACGACGAGTGCACGCTCCCGAGGCCACAGCCCCTCGCAACCTGCGACACGTTTGCGCCCCCGAGGTCACACTCCTGTGTGCATAAAATCACTGTCGCGCTCCCGAGACCACTATCCCTTGTTAAATTACAGTGGGCGCAGTGCGTTCGCGCTCCCGAGGCCACGATTCTGCCTGCGGAGGCTGCCCCAAAGCGTCATCCCCTCTCCAGAAACAACAAAAACTGCAATTTTCTGTTTTGGGATGTGTTCGGGGGCGCTTTTCCGCCCCTCGTCGTTTCCTGAGAACTCTGCTCTTGACCCGAGGCCACGAATCTTAGAACATAGCTAGGGGTGCCCGTTCCCGAAGCCGCCAACCCTCGTACATTAGAATAGCAGTGCGCTCCTGGGGCCACCATCTTTAAGTACAACAAACGCGCGCAAGCAGACAGCCAGCAAACAGCCCAAATCAACTGACCACCATCGGTTCAGGCAACAAGCCAATCAACCGAGTTGCCAGGCAACCGACCGACACGAAAACCAACGAACCTACCGACCAAGCGTGGTCATGCCTACAATCAGAGGTGGGGCCAGCGGCAGATGGCGAAGCCCTTCAGATCTGGCCGCTCCCGCCCTGCGGGTTGGGACGTACGAGACCTCTCTGACAGAGTGTTTGGCACAATCTTTGGCCCTATTCGCCGGTGCCTGGTCAAAAACCTCCCTGAAAGTCCCTCCGAGGGGGCCCCACTCTGCCGCCGGCCCCCCCCCGGCTTCAAGGTCCGGAACGCCCCGGGGACGACCCGAGAGCGCCCCAGGCCGGTCCTAGAGAGTGCCGAGCAGTCCAAGAGAGCCTCCACACGGTTCCAGATCGCTCCAAGACGGCCCAAGATGCCTCCAAGAGCACCCCCAAGAGAGCCCCAACATGCAAAAATCATTGATTTTTCAATGTTTTTTGAAGGATTTTCGCGTTCTCGCCATTTCGGCTTACCCACGCTCCAAGACGGCCCAAGAAGCCCCCAAGATCGCCCCACGACGGCCCAAGAGTCCCCCAAGGGGGCTCCAAGACAGCCCAGGAGGGCACCAAAACGGCCCAAGAGGCCCCCTGGACGGCCCAAGAGGGCCCCAGGACGGCCCCAAGAGGGGGCCCAGACGGGGAACCCGAACGGACATTTCGAACTTTCGGTCCCAAGAGGCTCCCAGGAGGACCTAAGAGGCCTCCAGGAGGCTCCCCAGAGGCCCCAAGAGACCCCCAAGAGCCCCCAAGAGGGCCCCAAGAGGCTCCCAAGGAGCCGCCAGGAGGCCCCCAAGAGGCCCCTAAACTCCCCCGCAGAGGCCCCCGAGAGCCCTCTCGAGAGACCCCAAGAAGTGTCCATGAGGACTCCGACCCAAAACCCAAGCACGGTCGCGGGATAGGCCGACGGCCATTCGATAGCTGGCATGCGCGCCGCGTCACGACTTTCGATGCTGCGCGCCACTTAGGCAAACTCCCAAGGAGCGGCCAGTGATGCGCCGCCGGCGTCCTTGATCCGGCCGCTCCCGCCTGCGGGTTGGGCAGTGCGAGACTGCCAAAGTGCCTGGCAGGATGCGCCAGGGCCTGGTCAACACCTCCCTGAAGTCCCTCCAATGGCCCGCCACTCTGCTGGCTGTCTCTCGTAGGCCCCCCTGGCCTCAAGGCTGTAAGCGGCCCTAAAGGGCCCCAAGACCAAGAGAACCCCAGGACGGCTCAAGAGAGCCCACAGAGGCGCCCAACGCAGTCCAAGAGAACCCCAGGACGCTTGCAGATCGCTCCAAGACAGCGCACGCTGGCTTGAGGATGGCCTGAGAAGCCTAAGGGACGTCCAGAGGCCTCCAAGAGGACTCTCACGAGGGCTCCGAGAAGCCAGAGCCATTGATTTTCCCATGTTTTTTTGCTGGATTTTCGCGTGTCCGTCTTTTCCGGCTTCCGACGCTCCACGACGGCAAGAGGCCACCACCATCGACCCAGTACAGCCCAAGAGGCTCCCAGGAGAGCCCCTAGACGGCCCAAGAGGGGCTCAAGCGGCCCCCAGAACTCTAAATGACATGTCGCGCTCTCCGCCGCACGGTGACACCAGAGAACGCCATCAGGCCCCCAAGGGCCCCTTCTAGAAGGCCCTGGAGGCCCCAGAGATATTCAAATGAGGCCCCAGGAGGCCCCCAAGAGGCCCCAAGGCATCTTCAAAACGCCTTGCCTCCAGGAGGCTTCCGAAAAGCATCCCAAGCGATTCTTACAGGCATCCAAGAGGTCTCTGGATTACAACCTAGGCACGGTGGCGGGATGGGCCGAAGGCCACTAACTCCGCCGCCCCCTGTGGTCTTGCCACAACGGTGCCTGACGTGCTAGATCCTATGTGCGACTTGGTTTTGGTTCTTGTCCAATAGAACTCCCCCTGGGGCTTCGGTCCATGCCTCCAAGACGGCCCGAGAGAGTCCAAGATGACTCCAAGTTCGCCCAAGACGCCTCCAAGACGGCCCCAGATGCCCCCAAGAGATCTCCAAGATGGCACAAGAGGCCTCCGCAAGGTCCTCCAGAAGAGCCCGAGGAGGCCCAAATCAGTGTTTCCCATATATGTGTTTGAATGATTTTGGCATTTGCTTCTTTTTCGTCTTCCTGACTGCCCCAGACGGCCCAAGAGGCCCCAAAGACCACCCCAAGATGACCCCAGGACGGTCCAGGAAGCCTCCAAGACGGCCCCAAGATGGCCCCAAGACGGCCCAAGCGGCCTCCGAGACGCCCAACATGGGCTCCAAGACGGCCCTGAAGCGCCCCAAGAGGGACCCAAGTCGGTTCAGAGAGGCATCCAAGGCTGCTTCCGACGGCGTGAGACGGGCCAGGCACGCTTTAAGACGGCCAAAGAGGCCCCCAAGAAGCCCCAAAGGCCCCCAAGAGGCGGAGACCTTCAAAAGGCTCCCAGGAAGCTCCCAGTAGGCCCCAAGGGTGTCCCAAGAGGCTCCCAAGAGGCCTGCTCCTGCTCCTGCTCCTCCTCCTCCTCGTCCTCCTCATCCTCCTCTTCCTCCTCCCCCTCCCCTCTCTATTTTTTCCTCCTCTCCTCCCCTTCTTCTTTCCACCCCGCGTGTTCCCCGAAGGGTTACCACAGCGGCTGGGGGAACACATGGTCCGATGGCTTGGCAGAGCTCTGGCCACGACGTTCGGCCACATGGGCGACTCCAAAAGGCAGGGGGCGGCGGCGATTCGCCGTAGGCGTCTTCGATACTTCAAAGAAGCCTTCAAGCACCCCCGGCCAAGACAACTGGCTTGCGCGTTGCGTTGCGACTCTCGATACTGCGCGCCACATCGCCAAACTCCTAAGGAACGACCCGTGATGCGCCGCGGGCGCCCTCGATATATATATATATATATATATGTACTATACATTTATATATGTACATATGTACATATGTATGTATATATGTATGTATGTATGTATGTATGTATGTATGTATGTATGTATGTAT